GAACTAGTAGAGGACATATGGTATCGGCATCTCAATGTGGACCGCGGCCTGCTCAAACCCATCCGATGGTTCAGGCATTATAGCGACAGACCTGCAAAGATTGCTGCCCTCCAGTGGCAAATCGCACACCGATGCTTGCCAACTAATGATTGGCTAATAGAGCATACCCGCTTGGAACAGCAAGGACGGGCAGTACCATGATGCCACAGTTGCCTCCGCAGCTACCCAGGGAGGAAACGTGCGGAGACAATTGAACACTTATTCCTCCAATGCCCAGCATCGGTGCTATTATGGAGGAGTTGGGACAGGATCTGGCGTCATATTGTCCCTAATATAGAATGGCCATGGGAATGGAGGGCCATATTACTGGGCCACTACCCCCCGGTCCGGGGACCACATTTGAAGAGAACATGTTCCAGTTGGGCAGGTGGACCGTTCTTTGGACTATTTGGTGGCAGAGATGCATTTTGGAAATAGAAGGGGCTCGGGTGGAGGAAGGAGAAGTCATGGAACAACTATGTCTGCTCTTCCAACATGAAATTGCAGCTCAGTGGAGGACAGCCAGGAATAAGCTTGACCAACTGCACGCCCAAGGAGACATCACTCGGAGCATCTCCCGATTTGGTCAAAACTGGCTGGGAGGGGAGAGAGAAGGGTGGGTGGCTGAGATAAGATGGTCAGGGGATTGCCAGCTGGAAGAACAACCGCCTGAAGGACACCAGGCAGGGATTGCAAGAGACTATCAGCTGATCTTCCACGACTGGACCGATATAGACCCCGGTGAGAGGCTACGCCCCGCTCAAGAGTTTGCAGACCCCTTCCCCCTCACCCCTTGGCCTTAGAAGAAATTTTTCCCCCTCCAGGAGAAGATCCATAGAGGAGGCAGAGGGCGCTGGACCCGGTTTCCAGCAGATTTGGATGGGACACAGATCAGCTAAGGGACGCTGGACCCGGTTTCCAGCAATTTAGGGACTGAACACATTGATCAGATATGGGACGCTGGACCCGGTTTCCAGCATTGTATTGTTACTCTCATTGAGGACGGTGCGGCACAATTCTGTCTAGACTTGCATTACCTGTTTTCAGCAGAAAAACAGTTACAATAGGCGCATTATGCCAGCYGACGTCTGTGCAKCACATGTCTGTCCATTTCTGCATTGTCTGTTATCTTAGCCTTCAATTGCTATTACAGAGTGCAAAACACACTAGGCGCCATGAGGATAGTAGGTGGATGGCAGAGGCTAGGGGAGGAGGGGAGACTCCACCGGTGCCCCCCATGGTTTCTCCCCTCAATTCCCGACACTGCTGCAGTTTTGGTAGGGGAGAGTAGATTGGACATGGGACGTTGGACCCAGTTTCCAGCACAATGGCGTCACTTTCTAAAGATGTACTGATTGGCAAGATGTATTTAAGGGACGCTGTGGGACGCTGGACCCGGTTTCCAGCAGGTGTTGCTCCCCACCAATAGATGGAGCGGCCCACCAGACAAAGCCTCAATCCCGGTGGTTCTCTTACCACCACCAGGATAGAGGCCTTGCGCTAGGGCTTTAAAAAAAAAAAAAAAAAAAAAAAAAAAAAGCGGGAGTCACAAAAATGAGTTATAATTCCACTACGGGCCTGGATAGAGTTCAGAATTGCAGTTAGAATTTTTGCAGTTCGGGCAGTGCATCCAACCCAGCTTTCTGACCAGGTTTGCGAACTGTATCTTGCCCCGTAGTAGTGCAATTGTAACTCGTTTTTGTGGCTCTAACTGAAGTTGCCCCCCAAAAAAATTACTGGCGGTACCCTGTTGTTACACCCTGGGACATCCGTTAAAATTGGAACGATACAGAGAAGATTAGCATGGCCCCTGCGCAAGGATGACACGCAGAAATCGAGAAATGGTGTATGATCGAGAAATGGTTGTTACACCCTGTTCTAGGGGCCACATTTCTGTGGCTTTCATGGAGGGCATAGTTCCTTGCTCCACTACAGTAACTGTCTGCTGTGCAACTTTTTGGAAAGTGTGCAGACAGCTGTCAGAGAGTCCGTGTTTTCTTTTTTTTTTTTGGAGTCCGTGTTTTCTCGGAGTCGCTCCAGCTACTATCGGCTGTACAACTCTCCAATTCGTGAGCTCACCATGAGAGGTGGTGCCAGCACTACACAACACCCAGACTCCACTGCAGGCCACTGTCCGAAAAGGAGTTGGGTCCCTGGGTTGGAGCGAGTAATTTTGCAGGCTGGAAATTGTACATAGCCGGACAGCAGATTGTCCACGCGGTTTCTGACCACTGTCAGATCAATATTCTACTTGTACAGTGGACAGTAAGTGGAGCGATGTCGCATTGTCCGAAATTTTATAGTGGACAGTAGTGGAGCGAGACCCATATAATTGGGGTCCCATGCATCCATGCCTGGTAGTAGACGCAGTCAGATACATGCAGAAAAGAGGGTACGGGGACATTCCGGTGACCTGTTTCTTTCACTGGGGAAGGCAGGAACCCTTTCTTACAACTGAAAATGAAATGTATTATACAAGCCGAGAAACGGCCCTGAGTCCCTTACAAAAGTGTGCGTGCCACAAGGGATGACACGCTTTTCGTCCTCTTCAGCTCATGCAAAAGGAAGGAGATTCGGAATCTCCTGAACGTAACTGATCGCATTTGCCACTTATATCTTTAATATAATATAATACTCTAAAGGAAATAGAGGATCTCACGTGAGTGTCCCTCTCGAGCCCCACAGTGTTGGGAAAGTACGAAATAGACCCACGACTCATGTGGGGAGCGGCCGAGCAGGCCGATGCAGGCCGATGCAGGCCGACATGGGTGGGCTGGGCCGGGCCGAGACGGTGCACCTCCCGGAAAAGCGCAGGCCGAGCAGCTCAAGGCGGTTGGCCTGGTGTAAACGGGAGGGCTGTGGGAAAGTGTATATTTCCATGTTCTAGGAAGATTCATTCGATTGAGCTCATCCTATCTATGGAAATAGTGTGAAGCCAGCCGCGAGGTCATAGACTTACCTGTTTTCTCTCACTCTCTCTATGTCTCTCTCTCTTTGCTCATCCTATGGATGCAAGTAGTGTCTCTCTATCTCTCGGCACGCAAGGCTGGAAAGCAGTGTGTGTTTCAATATTCTAGAGGAAGATTCATTCCGATTTTGCTCATCCTATGGATGGAAGTAGCCTCCCTCTCTCTCTCTCTCTCTCTCTCTCTCTCTCTCTCTCTCACACACACACACACACACACAAAAAAAAAAAAAAAAAAAAAAAAAAAACCCAAAAAAAAAAAAAAAAAAAAAAAAGACAAACAAGTGTGGCAGTCTATATTTCCATGTTCTAGCGGTAGATTCATTCTATGTTGCTCATCCTATCCATGGAAGTACCATGAGGCCAGCGGCCAGGTTGGAGAGTTAGTACCTGTTCTCTCTCTCTCTCTCTCTCTCTCTCTCTCTCTCTCTCTGGGCCCTGGCCAATTTGGCCAAGGCTGCGCCTGATAAGGCGCTGCAATGTCTGTTAGCCGCTCTGAGGTTCGCGGCTCGAAAAAAAGAAAAGCATGAGAGGCTTATTTCGAGGTTGCTGTGATCCTATTCAGGGGTTTGCCCAAGGCTCTGGGGTACGTGGAGGGGTTTTGGAACCCTGCACGGGGTTTTTTGGTGAGGGGGTCTCTGAGTCCCCGGGGTGATTTCGAGTCCCAATGCAGGTTTTGTGCTGTTTCGGGTTCTCTGCTGTGGGATTTTCGATTTTGCATCATTGTGTACCGGACCATGGTTTACTAGTGTGAGGCATCGGCAGGCTATTTTTGGGAGTGATGTTTCGACACGGGTTTTGGAGTCTTGTACGGCACAGTTTTAGTTTTCTATTTTGACTTCTTGTAGGAATTCAGATTCAAGTGCTTGGCTTCTTGGGATCTGGCGACAGACTTTCTACTGCAGGCACGTAGCGATGAGATATATTGGGGAAGCACGGCATTACCTTCCCTCTGAGCACGCGGACTCGTCGGAGTTCACCCTCCTGAGAAGTCCCGTTTCTGGTGAAGCGGGCGAAACCGGTTGAGGGGTTCCACCTGTTGCTCTCTGTGGTTACTATGTTTCAAGCTGTTTTGAAATCTTCGGGGGTCTTTGCTCTGGCTTGTGACCTTGGCTATGGCCGCTCTGACTGTGTACGCCGCAGTCTGCCTACTCTCTGGCTCGTAGTAACCGTCGGCTGTGCATGCTAGATGGTGGCTGCGTCGACTTCGGATCTGGACACTACAAGCTGTGTTACGCACTTCGGAACGTGCTGGCTAGCTTCGCTGCACATGGGGGGCTAGCGATGTTATAGGCTGCTTACGCACTACGAAATGTGGTGACTATCTTCGCTGTAAGGGATTTGCGTGGTCAAGCTGAGCGGAGGATAGGGCGTTCTGAGGTGGCGAGACTTGGGAGATCGCTGGCGTAATGCGCTAAGCGGTGCTGGCGACTTGGGAGATCGCTGACGTACTGCGCTAAGCGGGGAAATCGGTAGCACACGACGCTAGGCGGGGCTGGAGACTAACGACTCGAGATCATGCCAAAACCCGGAAGATCAGTTCACCAGATCCTATTCGGTATTGGGTTTATATTCGTAGGGGTAGGTTTGATGATCGTTAGAGCGGCTTTGTGATAAGGAGATGCCGACCTTTTGTGCATACTGCGGGAGCGAGTTTAACGCGCCTGGGAGGAGACGACCTTCGTACCGAGTACGTATGATCCGTGTGTTAGAAAGCTACGTTAATACGACGATTCGGCCATTGTTCTATATGATTAATTTCGTGACGGATGAGGCGTTGCGAGCAGGGTTATACGAGTGCCTTATGCACATGCTATTAGGATAGAGGCCACGATACTGACTTTAAGATCACAAAGAAGGGTGAGGCATGAGGAGATTGTCGAGCTGTGGAGGGATTGACTGTTGGGTTACGAACCACTTGGGATAGGTTTTTGGGATTGGGGACGACTAAGGAGCGGGTGAGGGAAATTAGTATCTTCGTACCTCCGAGACGAGCCGGTGCTTATTTGAATTTTGAATGTCGATCGAGAGGAGTGACGCGCCGCGTTCCAAACATAAGCTCCACGTTTTCCACGGGGCTTAGTACACATTATTTTCCGCGCTAACCGATGATGTATCTGATCAACGGCCCGGCGGGGGGTGCCGGAGGTCAGTCGGGCGGTAGCGGGAATGGCTTCGGGAGTAATACCGGTGGGTTCAACAGTGGTGGGGGTGGATATGCAGGGGGAGGGGGAGGATTCGGAGGCGGGAATAATGTATGTTTTAGCTGGGGGAAGGTTGGACATTTTGCGAGAGACTGCTGGTCGAGACGGACCAGGGGATTCCCGAGTAATTACGTGGATCCCGAGTTGGAGGAGATTAAAGAGCAACATAGGCTGGCGAGGAAGGAAAGGTTGGAGTTAGAGGAGAAGAGGCGTGTGGAAGATGAACGGAAGGCGAGAGAGGAGGATGATGCAAGAAGAAATGCCGATTTCGCCAGGAAGGCCGAAGAGTTCAAGCTGCAGCTGCGGGCCGAACTGGTGGAGGAGTGGAGGAAGAAAGAGGAGGAGGCAAAGAAGGCGGTGAAGAGATTGAAGCAAGCTAGTAAGAGTGCTATCACTAGGCGGCAGCGCAAGAAAGGAGGTAAGTTCGGTAAAACCGCAAGGAAGATTGCCTACTCGGAGATGAGCGACGAATCAGATTCCGACACGGGCGATTCCGACACGTCTGAACTACAGTCATCATCTACTAGTTCGGATGATTCGAAGCGAGGGAGGTAGGACCATACACAGAAAGGTAAGAGGAGGGCGAGGGGGGTATTGAGGTCTAAGAAGAGTAAGTCCAAGGAAGTTCCCGTGGAGACTCCCGCACGAGTGTACGAACGTGGGGAGTGCTCGAGACAAAGGAAGGAGGAGATCCCGAGGAAGGCTGATCCGGTGGTTGATCGAAAGGTGGAAGACGCGGAGCCGAAGACACCACTATCAGCAGGCTATAAGGGTCTGGCCGCAGAATGCTCACAGAAAGGGTTGATCGAATATTGCATTTCGGCGCATCGTATCTACTCCATAAAGAAGGCGACTACGTTGAAGAAGCTGTGTGAGCGGAAGGGGATAAAATACACGGGGAAGCCGGACGCCGTTGAGATACTCGCGCGGCATCAAGTACACTTGGCCTACGACGGTTTTGAGGGAGGAAGGCAGACGGAAGGGGGAGCTAAGATGGAGGTTGCAGGAGGATCACCGAAACCCGAGAACGGGAAGGGGAAACGGGTAGCAGAGGCGACAACGCCCAAACCCTCCAGGGTTATTTTGAAGTCCGCACCGGTGCAGCCCATGGAGGTTTCAGATTTGGATTGACGGTTAATCGCCCCTACTAACGGCGAGCTATGGGAGAGACTCGGCTACTGGCTGGATAAGCGCTCAACGTTGAGGGGGCGGAATGTTACTGGCGACGTGACCAGAAGTGTCGAGTGTGCGATCTCAGTGGCGACTTTGCTGCTAGTGATAAGGGGACAGATTCCCTGGCTCGAGAAGTATGTTAGACGCTCAGAGGAGGTGGGTAAGTTACTAGATTTGAAAACTGGTGGTGTATACGCAATCGTGAGTCCGTGGACTACGAAGTCGTATGTAGGGAGTACGGTCCGACCAATGATCCACAGGTGGAGGGAGCACTGTCGCAATGCTCAAAGTGATGCTTTGGGGTTGGCACCGCATCTTTACAGGTGGCTCAGGAAGTATGGTGTCGATAAGTACACGATTATACCGTTGAATCACTCGGACAAGGGAGATGATTACGCCTTCGAAAGATTTTTGATTGAGGATCTGTACCCGAGCCTGAACACCCGTGAGGTCGGGAAAGAGGGGAAGCATAGCAGGAGAAGGGCGAGAAGAGGCAGACGGGAGAGGAGAGGGAGATCGGGGGAGGCTCGAGTTCAGAAGGTAGTCACGTTTGTTTTTCAGGGCGCTACGTACACTTCGCTGCTGGTCAGGCTAGCTGAACACGAAGGAAGAGGGAGATGGACGCTAGTATTCTCCGGTGGGGATGTCTGGACTGACCGCTGGAGGAATGTGGTGAAGAAGTATGGTAACACGGTCCTGATGATCAATGGCAAGAAAACCACGCTACACGAAGCAAAGAGGGAGCTGCAGCAAGGCAGGGAGGTGACGTTTATCCTGGTGGTCAGATCGAAGACGACCACGGGGAAGAATAGGACCTGGCTGATCGGACTTTTGCGCAAACCGAGACCAGTGAGTCAACTGGCGAACCTCACGACCAGGAAACTCATAGGTCTATACAGGACCGCTGGGCTCTTCGCCGATAAACAGACAAGAATCAGACTGAGGTTGACCATAGATCGTGCGATCACACGGAGAGTGGGATTTAGTGTGAGAAGGAGAATTAATGTCAAGTTACCATACGACTCGGGCCTAAGGAAGTCTGCGATTCGGAGGCGACGGAGATGCTTGTCAGCGAGAGGGTATCCGATCAGGTGGTGGCTAAGTTTCTCAGAACAAGAGTTCGGATTGTCTGGATCAGGAACAGGAACGTCGGGGAGTTACTGCACAATCAAAAGCTGTTCGCTAGTGAAGAGCAGCATCGATGCCCTTGCAAGGAGTTGGCGCTGCCTAAACTAGATGGTCACATCCTCACACGTTTTTCTGAGATCGAAGTCCCACGCTTCGTTGGGAACTCGAAGAACATCACTAGGCCGGCTAAAGCATGTTGCATGCCGGTTTTAGTCAAGGCGATTTTGGAAGCTGTGAAGCACGTCAAGGGCTCCGGTACGACGCAAGTGACCATCTCATCGGCATGGGCGGATCGTGAACCATACACGGAGGCCTGGACTGACGAGGAGGTGAGGAGGTGGGCAGCACACTTCGAAGGACTGGTTTTGGTTCCCATAGACCGCAACCAGGGAGATACGGCAGTAATTTGTCCAGTGATCTACAGACACGCTTTTGGGAAGATGTTCATGTGAACACTAACTACGAACGCATTGGGGATCTGGAGGCAGAGGACTCACTGCTGAAGACTTGCAAGGAAGACTTCATCACGAAGGGTTTGGAAAAGATCGGGGGTTGGAAACCAGACGGCAGATTAGGAGCCTCATATGTGATCCCGAAGCATAAAGACCTTGAAAGATGGCGACCGATTGCGCCGGCACCCGCGAATCCTGCGGCGTTGGCAGGGAGAAGGATAGCAAAGGCACTACATTGTCTGCTTAAGCGCCTACCAGAGCGCTGCTCCTTCTATCTCAACTCGGTAGGAGAGCTCGCTGAGAGGCTGTCGGCAGCTTCGCAATAGCTGAGGGCCGCTAGGTGTACACATGCGGAGGGGAGATGTTATGACATCAAAGAGATGTTCTCCCGGATCCCTCATGATGCAGTTCTTCAGGCGGTGTACCAACTACTGCGCGAGTATTAAGACGATGGTTGCATCCAGCTGAAGGTGTCGATGAGAGGGAGGCTGGCTGTGATCAGCAAGAACAGGCGTAGGACCGATGGTTATGTCAGTATTACTTTGAAGCAGATTTTGAAGGGGGTTGAGTACGATTTGGAGCATTCTTTTGTAAGATGTGGAGGCAGACTCGTGAAGCAGATTTTTGGCATTCCCATGGGAAAGTCCATGAGCCCGATCCTAGCTTCGGTAACTTGTGCCGTGGCTAAGATGCGGTTCTTGAGGCAACTGGGGACGGAGAGGAGATTTATAAGTGGATGGCGCATCATGGATGATATCACTGTGATAGTGGGAGTGGATGCGGAGAATTCCAGTGGCGGATTCCCTGAGAGTTTTTTCAAGGCGTTTGAAGATATCTACGACGACAATCTGGAGGTGATTCGCAAGCCTTAGGATGAATGCGGTTTAACATGGGAGTTCGTCGGGGGCTCGATGTTCATCTGCTGCTCTCCGGTACAGCTGCACTACGTGCCGTGTACAAAGAACACGGCCTCTCTCCACAAGGGCAATTCGCTGGCGTTTCAAACGATGCAGGACTATAGTTCGTATTCTGCAAAGGTGGTAAAAAAGGCAGTGTTGACGATGATGGCGAAGAGGCTCTGGGACCACACTACTAGTAAGCAGCTGGTACTGGGGGCCGTAGGTTTCGCTGTCTGCGAAGCGAACCTCCGGGGATACCCCCCGGAGGTCTCTCTCGGGGCCCTGGCCAATTTGGCTGTTACATCTTCGATGCCACACGGGTCCTACCGGACCCGACTTAGGGCCGGAGGGACACACCAGGGCCTAAAGGCCCGACCTTGAGGGTCACAGGCCCTAAAGGCCTGATTTTGCACTCAGCCCAGTGGGTAGGCCCAAACGACAGTTTGTTTGGGCCTGGCGGCTCTCTTGAGGCTGCCACCCGCCGAAGGAGGCTGAACCGTCCATCTG